TGGCAATCTCTTTCGCTGTGTTTCAGGGCTGTCTTCTTAAAATGGGATTTCACTGTGGGTATTTATTTTCTTCTTGCAGCCATAGCTACAACACACACAACAACAGAGCCCACGACCTCTAAGTTGTAATTCTTCCCCCACCCCGTTACATGACAGTCATGATGTTGGCATGAAACATGGCTTTCTAAGTTTACCAACCCTTGCTGTTGGGGTGTCCCTTGTATGATCCTGGTGAGAAATATTTGTATGATGTCATTCAGAGCATAAACCATGAGCTGTGTAACGGTTAATCGTATGAGTTAACAGAGAAGGTTTCACGGAATAAAAAACATTGCTGGCTGTGATGAGTAAGTGAGTGCATAAAGTGTAACGAAACCTGTGACACTGATATGACATGTAAGGATGGGAATGCCCAGATGGAAAGGCTCCTGTGTTTACTTTACACTGGGCCCAGGCTGTGTGCAAGAACGTAGTTATTTGGCAGCAGGATTTTGGGGATGGCTCTGCTCCCCAGCTGCCTGCGTCCTTGCTAGGAAGAAAGCAAACTTTTGTGACTTGTGCCCTTCACTGGGGACTTGACTTGACTCACTGGGGAAAGGGTAAAGCATGCTGATGGTTCCCAAAGTGTTTGTCCTAATTTGCTTGCTCTCTGTGTGTTTTTTTCCTGCTTGTTCTCCTCCACAGTTGAAGTCATATTTGATGGTGAGTTTGTCTGCCAGAGCATCGGGTTCTCCGGGATGTAAGTGCCCACTGCTGCCCCAGCCTCTCCTTTCCCCAGTGTGGAAGCCCAAGAAGAGGCTGCCAGCCCTGAGCTGTGCTGTGGGTGGATGCTGCTGGGTGTCAAGGGGCAGCCGTGGCTGGGGAGGATGTGGGAGCCTGCTCTGTCCTGTCAAACGTCATTGCCTGAAAGCAGAGCACTGCTGGCCTGACCAAATGTTTTGTGTCTCTCAAAGAGCTGTTGCTGCAGCTGACCGGTGCGCCGAACAGATGTGCAGGCAACGTGGAAATCTTCTATTTTGGAGGCTGGGTTAAAGTGTGTGGGTACCTGTGGGACATGCAAGATGCCGAGGTTGTGTGCAGGCAGCTTGGCTGTGGCTCGCCTCTTGCTGTGATGCACTATTTCCCTTCGAGCACCTTGGACTATCACCTGATGACGGCGGTGGATTGTGCAGGCTCTGAAAAGTATTTGTGGGACTGCCCCTACGAGTACATAAACTCTGACTGTTATCACGGGGATGCTTCTGTCATATGCTCAGGTGGGTTTTTGCGTTTTGGTGGTGCTTTGCTGAAGAAAACCCATCTGGAGTCTGTGTGAGGGCTGGGCGAAGCCTGGCCAACCCTTGCTCTGTGTTCTGCAGGGCAACAGCAGGTCACGGGTCCGTGTCCCTGATGCAGGGGCCCATGTTTCAGAAGGAGCATTGTAGCTGCTCTTGCAGACTGTGTCTGGAAGATCCGGGGTTTGGGCAACTGCTAGCACACAGAGCAGGGTGCGAGGAGGGGGGTTAGTTTTGAGCCAGGCCATCCTCTCCACGGGTCCCTCCGTAGCTCTCCATGAGCTTATAGCACATGTTCCAAGGGGAGCCAAGGCATCTGAGTGCCTCACAGCCTCTGTTTTTCTCCTTTTCCAGACTCGGGACTGACAGTGCCTCCACCAACAGGTAACCAGAGATTTCTGTTTACATCCTGCTTCTCCTTGGGGTGCTTTGCCTCTGGCATGCTCTGTCTCTGTCAGAGCACAAAACGCAAACATGGGCTGCACTTACAGACCCTGGGTAACATCCCTGACATCAGGGAGATGTGGGATTACTTGGAATCCTTTGGGACTGAGCAATCTGTTCTTCTGTGGAAGAGATTTGGCACTGGTCTTCAGGGTGCTGGAGTGGTGTGCCCCTGAGCAAGTCCTGGCGTGGTTGGTACTGGAGCCATCTTGATCAGTCCTGCCACGTTACAGGGCTGACTGCGTGTTTTGGGTTTCATCGTCCTGGGATTCCCTTTGGAGAGCGGTGACTCCCAGCAGGATGTTCCTCTTAGGCAAAACGCTGCTCGCTTCCCAGCCTGGCAGCCTACAGCATGTACTGGTGTCCGGGGTTGTTCTTCCCCAGGAGCAGGACTTGGCGCTTCTCCGTCTTGAACTGCATGAGGTTCCTGTTGGCCCAGTTCTCCAGCCTGTCAAGGACCCTCTGGATGGCAGCAGGACCCACTGGTGGATCAGCCACTCCTCCCAGTTTGATGTCCTCAGCAAACATGCTGAGGGTCCACTCTGTCCCATCTTCCAGACTCTGGATGAAGATGTTGAACAGTACTGATCCCTGGGGTATACCACCAGTGACTGTTGTCCAGCTGGACTTTGTGCCACTGATCACAGCCCTTTGAACATGGCACTTCGGACAATTCAGACAAGTCCACCTCATCATCTGCTTTTGTAGCCTGTACTTCATCAGTTTGTCTGTGAGGACAACTGTTGTGAAGGACAGTGTCAGAAGCTTTACTGAAGTAAAGATAAACAACATCCACTACCTTCCCCTCATCTTCCAAGTTCCTTATTCGTTGTAGGAGGCTATCAGGCTGGTCAGACATGATTTTCCCAGTTGTAAATCCATGCTGACTACTCTCAGTCATCATCTTGTCATTACTGTGTCTAGAAATAGCTTCTGTTTTGCTCTCTCACCTTCTCAGGCATTGAGGTAAGGCTGCCCAGCCTGTAGTTTCCTGGTGGCTATCTCCAAGGATGGAGAGTCCACCACCTCTGTTGGGAACTTGTGCCATCGGTCAGTCACCCTCACAGTGTTTCCTGATGTTCAGAGGGAACCTCCTGCGTTTCAGTTTGTGCCCATGGCCACTTGTCCCATCACTGGGCACAACTGGAAAAAGCCTGACTTTTGGAGAGGGTTGACTCCCAGCAGATTGCTTGTCTTAGCAAAATGCTCCTCACTCACCTGCCGACTTCTCCCTGCAGCACCAGGTAGCTCCAGCACAACTCCCCCCATGTCACTGAGGACATTTAGGTCAGAGAGGTTAAGGGCTATGGTTATCTCCTGCCCCAGGTGTCCCACTGGATGGCCAGGCTCTGCCAATGAGCGTTACAGCCCATGCTTAGCTCAACCTGGGCTCTGGGCTGGGGGGACACAGGGATGAGGCTTTGGGGTGCAGCCTCATGCCCAGGAGGGAGGGTCTCTGTGGGGCAGTGGCAGAGCCTACCTGTGGGGGTGCCGTGCCCTTCTCTGATGGCTTCTGGCAATGGGATTTCAAGAGCTTTCTGCCCATCTCTGGGCTCTGCTCCTTTCTGCAGGTGCTGGTGCCTGTGGTGGCTTGCTTCATGGTTTGTCCGGCTCGGTCCAGAGCCCAGGCTACCCCAACTCCTACCCCAACAACGCCTTCTGCATGTGGCACATATGGCTGTTGGAGCTGGATCGCAGAGTCGAGCTCCAGTTTTTGGATGTCGAGTGAGTCCAGTGAGGTGGCAGCTGTGGTGTGAGCAGGGGGCCCAGTGCTGGCTGTGGGCTCGGGAGCAGCTCTGTCCCCATCACAGAGTCTTGGCTGTCTCTGCCTGACCACCGGGGCTAGGTCGGGAACGGGGTCCTGCCGGTACTTGTGCTTGGAGGTGGCACAGCCTACGGTGCAGACAGACTCTTCTCTCTCTACACAGGCTGGGAGGGCGGCACTGCATCAAGGTGTACGATGGCGAGTCCGCTCAGGCCCCGCTCCTCGGGACTGTTTGCAGGAATGACCATCGCGTCTTCAGGTCATCCGGGCACCAGCTGAGCATCCTGTTTCACAGTGATGGCAGCATCACCAGAAGAGGTTTCCAGGCCTACTACTACTCATTTCCCGCCTTCGGCAGCACCACAGGCAAGACCAGACCCATCCTTTACTCTTTGCTAGGGCAGAAACAAAAACTCTTCCTTCAGGGCCTTCTGATGGCTCCTGTCACCTATGGACATCCAGACTCTCTGCCCCCACTGAAGGCATTTCAGCCTGGAGGCATCTTTTTGGACAGGACTGCCACCAGACTGCTGCCAGAATGCTGTTTCTTTGCCTGATGGGCAGGGGACAGGGTTTTCTCCACCTCCGCCCGTGCTGCCGCTGAAACATCATTAATTTTTCTGGCCTTTACTGCAGGCAGAGGAGTTGCTTGTTCGTGGCAAGCTCATTGCTGCGGCTGCAGAGGTCATGGTTACTACTTGTTTTCCTAAAACAAAGAGAGCTGTTGCATTCACACGCAGTGCAGTAAACTCCTTTTTGCAGCTGAGGAGGTGTTGAGGAGTGAGTGTGGCTGCTGCTCTCTTCATGCAGTGCCAGGTCGCTCCAGCCTGACTATCCCTGTGTTGCTGACCTCAGGTAGGGCCTGGAGGGCTTGAGGGGTCTGGTTATCTCCTTCCCCTGCTCAGGATCAGAGAATCATAGGATGGTTGAGGTTGGTCTTGCCAGGTTACAGTGCTGAATGGGGGTCTCAGGTTTACGTATCCCTTACCTTTGGGGAGAGGTGACTCCCACTGGGCTCTTCATCTTAGGTAAAATGCTGCTCTCTCACTTGCTCTTCTCTCCCTGCAGTGCCAGGTAGCTCAAGCTTGACTCCCACAGTGACCACAGGTAGGTCTGGAGGGGTTGAGGGGATCTGTCTCTCTCTTGCCCTTGCTCAGGGTCACAGAATTACAGGAGATTGTAAGGGACGTCTGGAGGTCATCTAGTCCAACAGCCACTGCTAAACCATTGCTGGCTCATGTTGAACTTGGTGTCCACCAGGACTCCCAGGACCTTTTCAGGCAAGCTTCTTCCCAGCCTGGCAGCCAACAGCATGTACTGGGGTCTGGGGTTGTTCTTCCCCAGGAGCAGGACTTGGCGCTTCTCCGTCTTGAACTGCATGAGGTTCCTGTTGGCCCAGTTCTCCAGCCTGTCAAGGTCCCTCTGGATGGCAGCAGGAGCCGCTGGTGGATCAGCCACTTCTCTCAGTTTGATGTCATCAGCAAACATGCTGAGGGTCCACTCTGTCCCATCATCCCAATCATTAACAAAGACATTGCAGGCCCTGCTGATGGGAGCTATTTCACGTGCAGCACGTGAACTGCACTCTGGGATGGAGGGGGAAGGCTTTGAGATGCAGCCACACAGGGACCTGCCAGTCATCCACTGCAGGCCTTGGGTTTCAGTGTCCCAGGAGCCCTTTTGGGGAGAGTGGACTCCCAGCGGGTTGTTTCGCTCAGGAAAAATGCTGAGTGTTCACCTTCTGCTCTCTCCTTGCATCACCAGGGAGCTCCAGCTTGACGCCCCCTGTATCATCGACCTCAGGTAGGTTCAGAGGTGTTAAGGGGTCTGGCTAGCTCCTGCATCACTAGTTAAGGATCACAGAATCACAGGATAGCTGAGGTTGGAAGGGAGCTCTGGAGGACATCTGATCCTATCCCCTGGCTAAAGCTGGGTCACCTAGAACTGGCTGCCCAAGACCACGTCCAGATGGCTCTTGGCTATCTCCAAGGATGGAGAGAGTCCACCACCTCTGTGGGGAACTTGTACCATTGGTCAGTCACCCTCACAGTAAAACAGTGTTTCCTGATCTTCAGGCAGAACATACATGGAGCATCTGAGATGGGGTCCACAGACAGAAAGTCTTGTGTGTTTGTGTTGAGGCTGTGTGTGTACAAGTGCAGGCAGAGGAATTGCTTGGTCCTGGTTGTGGTCAATGAGACGAATGTTACTGCTCATAATTTTGGGGCATACTCCTCTTCATTTAATACCAAAAGAACAATGCCCCAAATAATTCCAAAATAGCAGTGCAGGTGATTTCACACCCAGTGTAGTCACTTATTTCTTTGCAGTTGAGCAGCAAATTCACAAGTGCTTAGGAAGCATTTGACCACTTCTTAAGTATTGTTATTCCACTAATTCCTATTTTAGCTGTTTGCTCAAGCACATCATTTGAGGATAGTGTGTATTTTGAAAGTTCAGTTGTTTGCATAATAAATGTTAAGTCCGTGAGAGAAAGGGGTTTTTAATGTTTGCTAGAAGTTGGAAATAAAAAGTGAAAATCTCTTGGACCTCAGTAGGTCTCTTGTTCATTCTTTAGGTCAAAAGAAGTAAATGTGTATTTTTTTTCTATTTTGGAATATAATTCAAAGGTGGTGTACATTTACACATTTCTCTTTTTTTGGAGTAGTTTGAGCTTGTACTGAAATGTATCCTAGAAATCCGTGACTTTATTTTACTTCTAAATTTGCTTAGATCTTGATTCCCCTGTTATTTGATTAGGCTGCAACTGACCTATGTAAACATTTCATACAATTTTTTGGCCGTGACATAAGGTCTTCATGGTTTTGAATTGAATATTCGTCAGCGTTCTTATTCGGAAACAAAATAATTTTGATTTTTTTTTTTCTTCCCTTTGGTCACCTGCAATTGTAATAGCAGCATGTCAGGCTCAGCTGTGACATTTTCAAGGAACAGCTGACCTCCTGAGGTCCAACCTCAATAATTGTGCAGTTCTGTGACAAATACTCATATCCCGCTAATGCAGACACCAAACATAAAGTATAAAAGCTATTTAGTGTTCTTATCGTCTCCTAATCTGCAATCAGAAGGTATATGAACCTAACAGAAAGACCATTGAAGCTGGTAGAAGTCACCGCCTCTAAATTTTATACTTAAATTCTACATAGACATATTCCAAAAACAATCTTAAATGGTGTAGATGTATATTTTTCTTCTCATATTTTTCTCTACAGAAGATTATTCTTGTGGCGGCTTGCTTTCCTCTCCCTCTGGTACATTAGAGAGTCCGTTTTACCCCAGAAATTATCCAAATAATGCCAACTGTGTCTGGGAAATAGAAGTAAAGAGCAACTTCCGTGTCAGACTCACATTTAGAGATGTTCAGTAAGTAGAAATTTATTACTTGGGAGGATGAATGTATGGGATTGACATCTTGGACTTTCTAAGCAGATAGCTGCCTGATTTCAAGGATCTTTCTCAAAGCTTTTAGTGCATTTGGGATGAAAAATACATTAATTTTTGTTTATTTAGTCAATAATGTGGCTGGCATCTAATGAGACAGAAATTGGAGGCTGTAATTTCTGTTCCAAAGATCTGATAGTCGTATCAGTAAACAGTACTCTTTTGCTATAAGCAGCTAATCTGAGTTTAAAAAAAAAAAAAAAGGGCAAAAATAAATAATAAACTAAACTCGAAACATTTAACTAAATAATGATGTTTGCTCCCAGGATGGAAGGTGGCAGATGCCTGTCTGACTACGTGGAAGTCTATGATGGGCCACTCCGTACCTCTCCTCTCCTTGGGAAATTTTGTTCTGGTTCTTTTCGCACGTACACCTCTTCCGCAAACCTGCTGACTGTCCGATTTTACAGTAACTCTCGGCACACCTACAGAGGGTTTCGGGCTGGCTACTACTCCACTCCAGCAGATCAGAGCACTAGTAAGTTCTTGTTTAAAGCAGAAACCTGCTTCTCGATTATCGTCCAATTCACTGATTGTTAATAATGTTGTACCACTTCAATGAATCACCATTTCATGTTATTTTAAATTAGATCTGCAGTGTTTCATAGAGATGCAAGTATATGTTTTGGGCTCTGACCTCCTCCTGCAATATCAGCTGCTTCTGCAAAAGATACTGTTCAGTCAAGTACAACTTTTTCCAGGCACTTCAACGAGTTTGTAACATATTTTCTTTGCCGTCTGCTAGCCCTGTTGTGTTTGCCGGACTACATGCATGCAGTTGTGAGCAGATACTACCTTCAGTCACAAGGCTATTCTGCTTGGAATCTCTCCTTGAACGACCCCTATTGCAAACCCAACGTTACAGCAGAGTATGTTATATTCGACATACCATACACTCGCTGCGGCACAGTGAGAGAGGTATGACTTTAAATGTTCCCACAATATGTGCAAGTATTGTGCGTGGGTAAAAATTCAAACTGAAGAGTTCATTTTGAGCACCGGCACGAATTGAAAGCTGTACCAGGGTCTGCAGGGACTGGAAGTGTCCTGGTGATTGTGGGCTGCCTCTTCCTTTCCAGGGCATTCACTTATTGATCTCCTAAGGAATAAAGGGTACAAGGAAGCAAATACTTGGCATTTTCAAGGTCCCAAGCTCAGTGTGGTGGTTAAAAATGTCTCAAAGCTTTACTAAATATGAGCAATCGTGTTTTAAGCCAGATTTCAGCTTAAGTACTGTGCTGGACCCAAACCTCCAGGCATTTAATGCTCAAGGCATTGTACAGGTTGTATTTAATTCAGTTGTCTCTGCATTTAGTATGAGTAGATATCTAGGCCCACATTGTAGGCACTGAATATTACACGTAGATTAAAGATTCTTACCTTGAGAGCAGAAAGTACTGGGTTCAGACTTCTCCACAGCAGACTTTCTAGAAAATACTGCATTTACTGTGCACATTGCTGTAAGGATACAGCAAAGTTTAGACTGCAGAACAGGAAACTTCACTATATGAATTCATTTTTCATCTTGTTTTATATGCCATACAGGGAAACAACAATACAATAATCTATTCCAACCTTATTAGAGGATCCTCTTCTGGTACTGCAATCACAAGAAATAAAAATCTTCACTTGCATGTCAAGTGCAAAATGCTCCAGAACACATGGACACAAACAACGTATCTTGCGGACGACAATTTTGAAGTCAATGAAACTCAGTATGCCAGATATGATGTGAACCTTACATTTTATCACTCTGCATACTTCTCACGGCCAGTGTATGAGTCACCATACTATGTTGATATCAACCAGGATTTGTTCCTTGAAGCTTATCTGCACAGCTCTGATCCAAACCTGGTGTTATTTGCAGACACATGTGTTGCATCGCCCACTCCCAACAATTTTACAAGTGTCATCTATGATATAATCAGGAATGGGTAAGCTCTTATGCAATACAACTACAAATAGAACAGCCTTTGAACTCGTATATCTCTTGTTTTTGGTTTTTTTTTTTTAATAGAATAGTGTGAATATACATTAATGTCACCTTCTAACTAATTAACAAACATGGACGTTTGGGGTTTACTGGGGGATAGGGAATGGATTCACCCAAAATACAACACACACACAGCCCCCCCAGCTTCAAATGACAAATAGAATAAATGGCTATGGCAAGTTCACCATGGATGGTTATTGTCAAAGAGGTAATGGGTAAGGAGAATTCACCTTCAGAACAACATGCAAACACTAGGCACCTAGACACACGGCAGGCTGCAGGGAGGTAACATGGCTCAGTGCTGCCAAAGAAGGGCATCTTGCTTTTCCTAATCACTGGTTTCTGAACAATTTTCATCATGTTTAAAAGAGCCCTTTTTCACGTTGTGTCTTATATTGCATGTAAATGACTAATTGCAGTGTGTATTCATGAGAGGTTTTTTTGTTTATTTTTAGGTGTGCTCGAGATTCTACCTATGCTACATATTATTCACCCTACAGACATGTGGTCAGGTTTAAATTCAATGCCTTCCAGTTTATTCATAACAATCCATTGGTTTACCTGCAGTGTGAACTGGTGGTGTGCAGGGCCTATGACTATTCGTCCAGATGCTACCAAGGCTGTATTGCTACGTCCAAGAAAGAGGCAAGCTCTGGCCAGGAAAGTGTGACTGTTGTTGCTGGCCCAGTACAGCTTCAGGAAGCTGGTGCTGAGAATAGCAACACACGTGATTTTAAATAAAGCTGTCTCCTTTGACAGACAGTATCTTGAAATGCCAATTTAATTCTGAAAGAAATTCTGCTGTCTTGCCAGCAGCTCTACAATAAATATTAGAAATGTGCTTACTGATTCATGCCTGTTAATCCCATGTCACATCCGCTGTCTTCAGCTGCATATAGCAAAAGTGCTACTTTAGCTGTTCTGTGGGGGGTCTGATGAGACAGGGCACAGGCAGCTCTGCAGAACTCACCCGTTCCCAAACCTTATGATGTAAACTTTACATTTTATCACTCTGCATACTTCTCACGGCCAGTGTATGAATCACCATCAACTGCGACTTGCAGCTGTCCTGTTCGAAAAGCGAGTCTGAAAGCTTCCCTGACAAATTTGTGATCTGTAAGGTCTTTGGTTGTTGTTGGTTTTCTTAATGGTAATCCTGAAATGTTTGAGTTGCAGTTTGAGTTCTATAAACAAGCTCTACTAATATAAACCTGAACCTGGACGTATCAGACTGCAAGAAATTGATTAATCTTTAAATCTGATCTAGAGTGACATTTTTTATATTTTGGAGGTAACAGGATGAGGGATCCAATGTAACTGGGTCCTCCCACCTTTCCCAGAGCTAGACTTTTTTGTCATCCAGGAGAACATGAATTCAGCTTCTGCTCCAACCAATGTTTCTCATGCACCATTTATTACTGCTGTCGGGCCCCTAGCAGTTGCTGTTTTCACTCTTGTTGGGTTTATTTTGAAACATAAAGTGAAGAAACTAATTCCATACCAGACCATGTAAGCCTTGGTAAACACCTGAAGCTGATCACATTGGTTGAGTAATTTGATGGACTGAGTCATTTCCTTGCATTGAATAATTTCATTAACAATTCAGAATTAAAATCCAGCATGAAAGGCTTTCTGTGGTGATGACTCACTTCGTGAGAAGACGTGGGCTTGACATAACAACTCAGCATCACAGGAAGCCAGAAGACTAGCATATATTTACAACCCAGTAAGGACCCTCAAATTAGTGGCCATCTGCAATATTAGGCTCTCAGA